CATTTGCGAGCAGCTTATCAACTTCTTCGCTCACGGCTTTATTGATTATAGTGTTGAACTTCCTCCTCATATGCCACACTGACGGGTAGAGGGGGTCAATATTCAGTTTGTGCGTGGCGATGTATTTCGGGATGCCTGGCATATCTGCATGGGAGAAGGAAAACAGATCGACACTGTCAGTTAAGAATTTACGAAACTTACATGGTTCCGAGAGATTGTGCCCGATATAAGCCTTTTTTGTGCTGTCATTGTTGTCTAGTAGAATAGGATCGAGATCCTCTATTGTTGACTCGGAGGCTTCTACGATGTCGGGATCCTTGATAACGTCTATCCGTACGTTGAGTTTGGTTCCTGACACCTCTGATTGCTATGCTTTCGTGCTTGCTCCTTTGCGTTGTTGGGTGTGTGCGCAATTGTGAGCGATGCGATAGTATTCTTGTGCGGTGCATTGTTCACCCCAGATGCTGAATAACCCCCATGGAGTAGGAAACTTAATTACTTGATAGAGACTTGACGTGTATCCATGGGCGCCCTATGATAGCATTGTAGGCTATATCTTGGTCCATGACGTGAAACGTTGTTTCCAGGGTGACTCCTCCAGCTAGAACGGGTAGCACTATCTCTCCAGATGTTCGCTCGACTGCATTATTAAAGCTTGTTAGTGTTATGCAATATGGTATTATTCTATCTTTGAGTCTTATCTGTATGAGGACTCGAGGATGGATAATACACGTGCCACTTTCGTTATCTACCATTATTCTTTTTACATCAGTATTTGCAATACGTAAAGTGATAACAAGAGCATCGTAGTGAGGGAAAGACAAACTGTCGGTATCTGATTTATCGAAGATGATACTATCTTCGAGAGCATTATACCATTCATGAGTGATCGACCGTTTGAGTTTATGTGTGGTGGTGAACTTTACATGGTTGATTGTTGTGTCATCGCCTCAGCCGAAGATCATCTGTATGGTACGAGCGGGAGAGGGCGGTTTTGGAAGTCCTTGGGGTTGTTCGCGTCCGCGGGCAAAGTTAGCCCGTCCTCGGTCGCTCAGCAACTCTTTCAGGTGCCCCTAATTTAGCATTCTTACTACCTCCTGCCGCAGTCCTATGCAATCTTCTGTTTTATGACCCTTTTCTTGGTGGAATTCGCAAAGAACGTTCGACTTCCGAGTACTTGGGTCGGACTTTATCTTTTGCGGCCATTGTACCTTCGTGTAGAGTTTCTGTAGTGCGTACACTATTTTTGAAGGAGAGACACAAAAATTGTGAGCAGATAAGAGTGGAGGCATAACTTTCTCATGTCGGTGTGGTGTTGTATGTCGAGGACGGGCATTTGTGTGCCGCGGATGAGGTGGTATGGATGTCGTGATGTAGGGCTGAAGCCTTTCTCGGCTGAGACGGGGCCCCAACTGATCTCTTCATCCATCGTTGCGACGATCTTTCCTTGCTTCAGCTTGAACTAACGTCAACCATTGGATCAGACTGTTGAGATGGTCCTCGTCGGCTCTTACCTTGGCACAGTAGGCGTTGTAAATTTCTTCCCAAGTGGTTGGAGGGTATTCCTGTTTAACTCGTTCTGGAAGGCTGCTACCGCCATTCTCTTTGACACATTTGGCAAGCTCATTCTCACCTTGTTAAACCGAGCTAAGAAGTCCCCGAGTCTCTCGCCGTGCATCTGCCTGACGGCAAATATGTCGTTTACCCCAGCTTCCGCCTTTTAGCTCCTGCATGAGCGGTGACAAACTTGTCCGCCATTTCTTTGAACGTGCTGGTAGTTGTGAGTACCAGGTCAGGGCTCCCCCTATTAGGGTTTCGCCGAACTTTTTCAGTAGCACCGATGGTACCCGTTCTTTCAAAAGATCGTTACCTTTTACGGTTGTGACGTAGTGGATGATATGATCTTCTGTATCGGTAGTACCGTCATATATCTTCAGGTATGGTGGCATTTTGAAGGTTTTTGAAATGGCGTGAGGGACTGCTTCCTCATTGTATGGTTGCTCGATGAATCAACCAACGTCCCGTTTTGGTAACAACTTTGGGGCGCCTGGTATTTTGTCGACCCTTTCTTGGTGCTCCTTCATCTGGTCACGGAGTACCTTATTCTCATTTTCCATTTCCTCCATTTTCTTTAGAACGACTGCGAGCGTGTCATTACCTACGTCAACACTAGTGCGAGTGTTACCTGTGCGGGGGATGTCTTGTTCATTAGTGATCATCGTGACATCTGCGTGTGAAATGTCTCTATTATCCCTTTGAGCGGGTTTATCAAGTGCGTTGTTCAGAGTTCTTGTTAGCCACTCTTCCAGTAGTCTTCTTACTGTCGGTGGTGCCTCTCCAGCAGTTACGCTTTCATGCGGGGGAGGTGAAGCGTCTCCCCTAGGTGTGGTGTTTGGTGTCACGTTTTCGTTATCTTCCCTGCTGTCTTCGTTGATGGTGTTCAGGATGTTGGTTGTGACACCTGCTATTCCTTTTATCCTTGCATCTCCTTTTCCTGTCATTGTTAGTTTGTGAGCTAGGAAGAGGTAATTATCCCTTTCTATGATTTAGATGAAACTGAAATCTAAACTAAAGATGTCCCCACATACGACGCCAAATTGTTTGACCAAAAGATGACAAAACCTTTTTGATTAAAATAATTAATGATAATGTTGAGGTCAATCTTAGTCAAGCACAATAAAATCTAGATCAAGTGATGGAAGGAGTAAGCAAGATGAATGATGTAACAAATATGTTGGAATCAAATAAATGCTCATAAATGTGAAGACTTAAATGCACAATCAATCTTAAGTATGAGATGATTGGGGAATCTTTGAATCTTCTCCGATGAACAAGACTGCTTTTGTATTCACTCTCAGATGATTCTTTTACAAAGTGTTCTTTTGTCTTTTTTCTCTTGTCCCCCCTTTCTTTACTCACTCTTCCTATTTATAAGGGACAATCTCCCAAAAAACCCTAAAAGGTACAATATAGAGAATATTCGACTGACCACCCTTGATCGTTGTCTTTCACCACGACAACCATCAGACGGTGCATCATGATAACCTCGTTCCTCGTCCTACTCGGTAACGGTCATGATTGCCAAATTTGGACTCATACGCGTACACGCTCCTAATCTCATCTCATTATTTCGATACTTGAAAGTTTGTGAATCTTGGGATTCTTCACATCAAAGTCGAATGGGAACTGGGAAGATAGTAAAACAGTACTAGTGGACGTCACCAAGGGGAAATTGCGCTCTCTCGCAGTAATATTTTGTTTTGTTTGACTTTTCTTTCAAAGTTTTAATACGGAGTATAAATATAGTATATTTTAAGATTTATGAAAATTTCAATAAATATTATATTTTGAACTTATAATCTTAACAGATACAACAGGTTCTGTGTAAAGTTAAACTCATTAAACTTAAATTTTAATTTCCCTTTTGATTAATGATACTGTTTTCTTTCTTCATTACATTAATCTACTCTTTTTGCTAAATAAAACCAACCATCACGTGATACGGCATGATGCTTGAGTTAATAATGAACTTGGAAATACTATATTTAAAGGTAAAGAAGTAAAGTAGGCACACCTCTTCAGACAGGCAAGTACCATGCTTCTGCCCTTTTAACATCTTTTCTATGGATCAAACTTGAATTCGTTCCTTTTCTAAGCTCCTCGCAATCTGAAAGCAATCGATCATACCACGGTTTTTTATTATAACTACTTTCAGGAATCTGTTATATATTATACAAGAGAGAAAAAAAGCTTGATATTTATGCAAAAAAAAAATAAAAAAAAATACAAGATATATGTCTTTATCACTTAATAATGACTAAATGATATATACAAATTCACTTTACTTTGAGACTTGTAAAGTTAAATTGTCTGATTTAATTTAAATACCATATGAAGATAAGTATTTTGTTAAATTATCCCACATTCGTTAAGGTACGAAATATTTATCTCATATGATCTTGATTAATTCTTATCTTATTAGCTAGTTTTGACGTTGAGTCCAAGACATATATTATTCTTAGATTGATCTTTCATAAAATAGTCAAAGTTCACTTGAATTGACAAGGAAAGTAATGAATGGATAACAGAGTTGCAACAAGTGATAATGTTTTTGAGCACACAAAATATTTAGAAAACAATGTGCCAGCTACTAGTGAAGATTACAAAGCAATAGAAGAGGAATACTGTAAAGGCATTATTATAATGTTTGAATTTATTTATTTTGTAAGTTTAAATAAAATCAGTGTTTTTAAAAATTTCAGAAAATTTAGATAAGGTAAGTTTTCATTGGATGGAAGTAACCATAAGAAGAGTGTCATATGCGGCATCATGTACGCATAAAACCAGCCAATTAGGTCCCCACTCTCACAAATAACACCACCTCAACCCTCAAACAGACAACATCACCATTCTCCCACTTTCTCTACCACTCTCGTCCCCTCGCGCGTGATTCCTCAGTTACCACAAAGTACACAAACTCACAAAATCCCCATCATCAAAAGCACCGGCTCAGTGCCACGTGTCAATGGTGGGTCCCAATATCGCTTATGTAGAGAAAAGAGAATTAAAAAGAAGCCATAAGTCCATCCCATTTCCAATTGTTGCCTTCCATTCAACACCAACACAAGTGTGCGTGTCAATTGTCATCTTCACTCCATATGTATACACTTTTGCACACTAATTTTCCCCCCAATAATTTACACTATAAAAATAACTAAAAATAATTATATATAATTATTATTTATAAAGTATTTACTTATCCAAAAATAGAAAGAAAATTTCATATTACGTCAAATTATATTAATAGTATATAAAAATATCTTTTACACGCACTATGCAACAACAATAATAATAAATCCAATGTAATCGTACCAGTAATAGAATATGAGGATAATGTACATGCCTTAAACATTTTATATACATACACGCACTTCGGTATTCACATAATAAATTAGTTAGTATATGTGTATATATATAACTTCCTTCATGTCATACTGCTCATTTATTATTTTTAATGTAGCTAGTTTCTCTTTCCGATTTTTCTTTGCCTTTGCCACCACTATCCCCACAATCTCATTCCATTCCTCTCTCATCTTCCTTGTGCCTTCTCCTACACTTTTTCCTTTTCCAACCTCTCTTACTCTTTTCTTTTTCTTCCCTTTCCACTGAAGAAAAACATAGCCATGACTGAAGAGGAGTGGCTTAAAGCGGCTACAATGGATGATACTGTGGTTGCTGAGTTATTGTTGCGTCTCAACCAGGTCAATCCGTCTCCGTCCAAGTCAAAGAAGACAAGCTTACCGCTTGAGTGGACTGTGCGTCAACGCCGGTCTAGACCGATTTCTGTTAATGCTAAGAAACCGGCTCCACGTGCTAGCCCCACTACACCTTTATCCTGGAGTGGCGCCACCTCTGTTAGCGGTGGAGGTGGCGGAGGTAGTGGTTGCGCCGTTGATGGTGGTTGCGAAGAGTCCAGCGGACCTCCTCCTACTTTCAAAACTCCCAGTAGCACGAGATCTAAGGTTCGTATGTTTGTTCCTCACTCTCTCTTTATGTGCGTGTGTTTTATGTACGGTTATAAATTAGTTTATCCATCGCGTGTTTGTTTTATGGTGGATGACGGAGTTTGAGTGAGTTGGTGTGTGGTGGTTGTGGCGAGTTCGTTGACGTGAAGTTCTTCATTGAATTTTTTTTTTAAAAAAATCGCGTGTCATTCGATTCGTTCCTCGTGATTATAATTCGCTTCCAAAATCAGGATTATTCTTTTCAACGCGTCCATTGGAAGCAATAGTTAGACGTGATTTCATTGGTTTCATCACCTGTCACCGTTTTTTCAGTTGAAAACAAAACCATTTTGTGTCCTTTTACGATTAGTTGAGTAGAATTTAAAAGGTTCCCGGTGGGCAGACGGCGGTCGTCGTTGGTGGCTCCGTTTAATTCGACGCGTGTTGACCAAAGTGCCCTGCATATTATAAATCTCCGGACTTTCCATATTCTAAATTACTGTAGCTTATCTTTATTAAAATGAAATATTTACCAGGAGGAGAAAAGTGGTGACTTTACTTCAACGTATGTTGTCAGACGCACAAGATTGAATGACTCTTCACGTTTTTTCTCTCTCTCACACACTTTTCTGCTCACCAGCCGAACCTCCCCATTATTGTGTGCGTCTTCGTGTCACACTTTTGTAGTCCTTAAATGACTGAACTACCCTTTAATTAAGCCGACCTGATGAAGTGACCAAACAGATGTCCCCAGTCTTTGTCGGGGTCGGTTCTCTTTTGAACCATTGGATTTGGTACTGAATTGCAAAAAAAGCATTATCCCCACTATAGCCACGCCACCTCCTCCATTAGTCAAACCCATTTTTGTCCTCATTTTCGTTACTTTTGTTTTCCTAAGTGACTGATAAGGGGCGTTAAAGTCTTTTTACTATATTTGAATTTTGTATGGTTTTGGAGAAAAGGGAGTGGTTCGGAATTTAGATGATAGAGTAAAAAGGATGGCGTGTGTTCGTGGCAAATAGGTCTGCGTTCAGTTTGGTGGTAGTGTTTGATAGTGGTTAAGCACTTTAATATAAATTGTAGTCGTGGAAAGCGGAGGAAATGATCGAGTGGGGTTAGATGTAGAGATAGCTTAAACTGCGGTTCAGAATCTAGTTATCTACCCGTATGAGCTTGTCGTTTTATTCACATCCACAATCTAAATGCCATTTGGAATTGGTGGACGGCAAATGAGAACGAATATTTTGGGGCAACTCACAACTGTACGTAGTCAATTGTTTCATGTGATATTGCTAAGGCTATAGCTAAAGGCTAAAGCTACGTGTAAGACAAATATCAGAAATTCTTAGAATATGTACAGCTACCGCACAACCTTTATTTTTTGTATACTCATCGTTATTAGCTAGTCTCCTACTACTGTAACAACAGAAGAATATTATCAACTTCTGGCGCAGTCAAAAAAGTTAGACAACCAAACTTTCTTCTAGTTAATTAATTAATTTAATAGGCTATAGAGTGTAACAGCTATTGCTTGACAGCTCCTTATTGTAGCATAAATGTTTTACCTTTAGCATGCTTGGCGAGCTAATCAAGAAGTAGCAGCTGTGGAAGTGAAAAGTATTCAGTCAAAGTAGTTTTTTAATGAAGGGATTCATTAGAATTGCATGGGTAAAAAGTCGTCGTAGGTATGATATCTATGACGAAACAGGTGTATAGTTGTCAAAGCAAGAGGTTTATGGTATAGCTAACTTCTACTGTGAGAACGTCACTAAGAATTTTAACTTTGTGGTCCTTCTACAAATCTCTCTGGCTCATTAAGAAGTTACCGTCCCTATTTTTATTACTTCCAGGGACCTTAATGTAGGATTTAATATCACAGATATTGTTGAAAACATAATATGTTAAATTATGAACTTTAGTTTCTCTATTTACCCCCATTTCTTATGCTTTTTGTCTGATAAATTTGTTGATTATATATGAGTTCAGCTTCCTTTAGCCGGTTGGATAAGGATTGCATGTTGGTAGCAGATTGTCCCAAACAGCTTTTGGCTTACATTGTAATTAATGTTTTAAAGACATGATATAGTGTGTTAAATATGTATGCAGTAAAATTTGTTCCCCTTCCATCTAAAACCCCTCGACATGCCTTTCATATATATTTTCTCTTTGTTGAAAATTATTACACACTATATTTTCTTGAAAGTGAGCGCGCTTTTGGTGGACAGATCATTCATTTGCTGATTTTGCTCGACTTTCAGGTTAACAGTACTAGTGATGCTACCACCAGCAAGAGATCAAGAAAGAAAAAGGTTAGGGTAAACCCTCGACTAAGTTATTAATTAAGATAGAATAGTTCATCACAAGTATAACATTGTATATGCAAGAAAGTTTGAAGGAATACCTGTCGCTTCATTTCTTTTACTTTGATTTCTATTAAGCGCCTGATCCCATATGAAACATATTCCATTTCAAATATCCCAGGACTACAAAATTACCTATTCATTTTTTCCTATTTCACTTTCTCTGACAAGCAGACATTGACTGAACTGAAAGAAGAGGAGATCTTGCTAATTAAGGAAAGAAAGCAATTGAAGAAGGTATTTTTCTTGGCTGTTGTGATTAGCTATCCTTACAGTTGAATTGTGTTTAAGTTCCTGAATTAACTCCACTCATGCAGGAATTAGCTTTGGTACGCATCAATCTGGAGAAACAGAGAGATACAAATCAAAACCTGAAAAGAATGAAGGTAAAATTTGGTACTAATTTATTTGGCCGGTCTATTTTAAACTGTATGATATTGTAGGCAACCTTGATATTTCATGCACACCTCTCTTATAGACTGATCAATTTTATCCTAGCAAGGGAATCAACAGCAGTTAATGGTAGCATAAATGATGAGTGTTAGTTTAAACATGTGGATGGATTTTCTTGGTGACTTTCTAAGAATTAAGCAAGGATTACCTACTTTATCTCCGCTACAGATCAAGAAAGAAGGGAAGAATAAAAATTGTATACTAACTTGATGTCCTTTTCTCCAGCTTGATTTGCACCCTCAGCAGGCAAATGAAAGAGGTACACCTGTTGCATGTGATGGAAGAAGTTTGGGTCAGTATCAGCAAGAGGTCCTACCAAGTAATCCAATCATTCCCATCTTCCGGGAAAAAGCCGCAAACAAGGTCTCAATATTGCCATCATATCTGGAAGAGCAGCAAGATGTCGCAGCTTTGGAGTCTAAATTTGTACTCCCAGACCTCAATATTCCGTTTGGTGAGGATTCCAGCACTGAAATTCTTTGTGGGTGAGCTGATATAGTAAAGCATTACACGGGCATCCTCCGACAAAGGAAGACAAGTATAATGAGAAGCATCTATAGCTAGTAAGGGCTAACCCTGTTATAGTATGATTTATGGAGTCAGATGTAACAAAGCACATTCCTCCGCCGCGCAGGTTTTTAGTCATGAAGGTATTGAGGGTAGTTAGGATCTGTGATTTTTTTCTTGAGAAGATGTCAACCGTAGGTTAGAGATCCTAACTCATTAGTTGCAGTAACATTCTTTTCTGACAGGTTTCTTCAATGTCCGATTCTTTGGGGCCAACCCTCATTCCTTCTGAGTTTGAGATAAAATGTAACTATTTCATATAGTAGTCGATCATATTACATGAATACCACGACTCTCTTTGCTCTATTGATGCATAAACTTTCATTACACATTTTATTCGGCTACTATATTTTCACACCAAGGCCCAAGCAGAATCTGCATATCAAGCCAACTGAGGGTTCCTTTTGAAATAATGGCATGAAGTCCTAGATGAAGGTGAAGGATGTGTTGATCATGCTGATCTAAAAGATGAGTGGAAGGCGAAACATTGAACTTCATACAGATTACTGCTTACAAAAATTACTGTAAAGCATATCCAGAATTATACATAGAAATGCTGATCACTGCCATCACAAAGCAGGAATAAATCATGATGGAGGAAATGTGTTAAGAGAGGGTCTTGGATACAATATGTATAGCAAGTCCCCAACACAATGGCCCCTAAAATATCTGCAGTTTATAAAAGATAGATATAGAGGAAATGATTTGAGTGGCTTGTGTTATTTGCATTTCTAAAGCACATATTTATACATGTTTTACATCAAATCGTATCTAATCCTATGATTTTACGACAACAATAAAAATGCAAATAATATCCAATCCATAAAAATTCGAAAGAATCAAAATTTAATCATAAGATAATAACAACAACTTAATCATAAGATAATACTTTATCAAAAAGAACATCCATAATGATAGCAGGTTACTCATTTATTTCCAGTTATTGAGGATCCAGTTTCAACGATCAAGATAGCAGAATTCATCATTTGAACTTGGTTAACAAGAACGAGAAAAACTGGTAAATGCAGGATGCATCTGATGCCTTAAGAATTTTACAGTTTAACTAAAACTAATACACTATTTGTGTATTGGTCGGTTTAAGAGCAAAAATATTTGAATAATACGAAACAATGAAGCCGCAAATAAAGCTGCGCAGGAGCTATTCAAGAATATTGGCACCCTGCTGAGGAGGAAGCGGGTTTGATTGCTGTGTGCAGCTATAAAACAAATTTATAGACACTGGCATACTGCATATTCAATGTCAAATAATTGCATTGGCATTTCAATTTTGATCAAAATTTACAATTATAGAGAAGGATATGCAAAATGGTTGAAAATTCAAAGAGACGCCATTCATAGTTTGTCTTATGGAAAACTAGCCTGAGGACACTAGACATCCGTGGTGCAAGTAAAATCCCCTCAAGCTATCACTAAAAGCAGAGCAACAAGGCGGAATAACTCTCCTTAGTGATGATGACGAGAATACCATACTATTTAGAGAACTGATACTAACTTGAGGACAATTCTTCAAGTTTATCTCTCGCAATGATTTACAATTTTTCACCAATGCATGTATGCCATCTGCTGTCACTCCTTTGCAGTTCTCCAAGTTTAACTTCAATAGGCGAGAACATCTGCTCCCAATAATAGCCAGGCCTTTGTCACTTAAAGCTGAACCAGCTGCATTGATTACCTCAAGATTAGGCAATTCAGTGCCTTGTCCAATATGTGTAATCATTGAACAGTGATCGAGTCGCAAATCCCTCATTTGAATGCACACCTCTAGAACAGAAGCAATACCTGCCTCTGTAAGATTTCTACACGAGGACACATCAAGCATCTCCAAGTTGGGGCAAGCTAAAGCAACTTTTGCGAGAGAGTCATCATCCAGGTACAAGTTATTTGCCAAAATAACAGCCCTGATCCTTGTGTTCTTCACACCATTATGAAATGAATTCGTCATTCCCAAACAAGTATTTTCCATGTTAACGGTTTCTAGTGAAGGACAATTTCTTGCAAGCGTAAAGAACGTAGAAATGGTCAATTTCAGACATTCTCTGAGATTAATGGTAACAAGACTTTGTAGATATTGGGATAAATCTTTCATAGTCTCATCAGTCAAGAAATGTACTTGAACCAAAGATAAGAACTTTAGTGATTGGTACGAACACAGAAGTGAAGAGATACCAGATAGAGTGAAATTTGTACACTCACAAAGTGAAAGCCTAGATAGAGGGAGAGAAGCCTTGGCTACCAAGAAGAGAAATTCATCCGAAATAGTTGAGCTGGAAACATCGAGTGTCTGTAAAGTTCGGCTGCAAGCAACCAAACATTCAAAACCAGGACTTGATCGAGGAATGTGAATCTCAGACACTGAAATCCAATTCAAAGCAGCACAAGTACGTAGCATAGAGAGGATCCCATTTACAGTTATCAAAGTGCAATGCTCCAACTCAATGCCTTGTAAATTTAAACAATTCATAGACAAAGTAACAAGCGAATTATCTGTAATAAAATGATTCCCAGAAACATTAATTTTACGCAAATTGGCCAAATTAACCGATAAAACCGCAATCCCGGAATCAGTCACGATCAAATCACCGTCGATTCTGTTCATCAAACTGAAATCAAATTTCGTCCTTGGATAGCTAATATCAAGCTCTTCCAAAAACGGAAACGACTGTGCTATAGCACACAAATCAGGATCACGTAAAAGAGCGAGATCGCTACACTTCAAAACCCTCAAATCCTTCAATTTACGCCCTAGTTCCTTCAAACCCTTGACAGGTAACTGTTTCTGATTAGAGATATCAAGTTGTTCAAGATTGGATGTATAGGAGACAGAATTGGCAAGATCAACAAGAACATGATCAAGTTCACCGCGAAAATTACTGAGATCAATCGATTTAAGATTCGGAAAACGGCGAATGAGTTTAGCAATTGTACCGTGGATAAGAAGAGTGGAGTCAATTACAGACAAGTGGAGGCGTAAACGATTGGTGAGAGCAAGGAATTGCTTGGACACAGAAGAAAAAGATTCCACATCGGATTGGTGATGGAGACGATTGAATATCAGTTCCCAGCATTCTTCAGGCAAATCTTTGCAATTAATCGCCATTGATTTCAGCTAATTAGGGCAAAAAATGGATGAAAATTGGATCGAGCGATTAAAGAGATTATTGGGAATTCCACAATCTATGAAAGAGAATCCCGGACTTGAGGCTACTAATATTGTTGAAGTGGGGTTTATTTTCACGTCATCTGTGGGCCAGCTAGGCAACTATAACAGGATGGGGTTTCATTTACTCCATTTCAATTTTGAAATTTAAATTTAAGATTCGCACTAATGGATCCTATCATTGATCTTATAAATTATAAATATTTTCCGCACTGTAACAGCTTAAATTTTAGTGGAGTAATAATTAAGCCCTTTTAATTTACTTTTAAATATATGCAAGCAAATCTTAATTTAACTATCTCCTTTTCTTCATTCTCACCACATAAGATCATCAGTCACACTATTATTTCTGTGCATCGCATATTTTACACTATAATTTATCGAATTTCTCATCTATTTAGTATTTTTTCATATATTTATTCAATTACCTATAATGAAAATAAATTGTTATGCATAGAGTTAAGAAGGTAAATCTATATTAACTTAATATATTCATTAATGAGTATGAAAAATGAAAGAATTTTGAGTGACAAAATAACAAAAGTAAAATTACTTGTTTTTAGGAATTTTATTAATGGGAATACAAACTCGATATTCTATGAACAGAAACTAAAAATAAAAGAGGGAACATCAAATACATAATATACCTAATAATAACTAACAATTGTTGAAAACAACGATATCTTTAGTGGTAGATTTATATAGGAGATTTCTTATTTATATTGTGAAATAATTTAGAATCAAAATATAAAACCAAAGAAGATTATTTACTAAAGCGTTTAATAAGGTGAAATAAAAAGAAGAAAAGAAGAACACAAAAGAAAAGTTAACAAACTTTGCGGAAATTAATAAAATATCATGATGTGGAGGTAAGAATGATGATCTAAAGTCCAAACGGAAATATAGGTGTATGGGTCAAAATTAGGTCTGGTTTAGCGAAGGGAGACGGACGAGCTGAGGCCAAGGTCGAAATCAAGCACGGTACAACGATGATGGGTCGCTCAAAGGGAGAGACCAGTACCGAGGTCGAATAAAGAGCAAACAGTTGCAACTGTTAGAATATTCCTAGGATTATGAATTAGAATATTCTATTGAATATTCCCCCATATTATATTTTTTTAGGGTTTTCTAGGGATATCTCTTATAAATAGGAAAAGAGAGGAAACAAAAGGGGATTCAGAACCATTATAAAAGAACATCTTGTAAAGAGTTGACTATCAAGAATATACAAAAAGCTTGTCTTGTCTCTTTTGTTTGATTCCATCACATAACATTCCTCTTTAGTTCACAAGATCCAAGAACACATAGTTCACTTCCATTGTCTGCTGTCGCACGTTGTAGTCAGAGGAAGGAATCATCCATCTCATCCAACATTTGGGTGACAAATTCCTTCTTATTACATTTAATGCCATTTATCACACTTATTGCATATTTTCATTCTCATATTTATTACTAGTCATTGAGCATTAACTCAGCATTTGTTGACTTGAACACGATCTCATACCGTCCAAGTTGTTTAATTTCGGATCTGAAATTTATTACTTTGAACTTGGATTCACCCCTTGTCTATTTATCAAATTGGTTTAACTAAAAAGGGCTTAAAACATTTTGGTCAAATAATTTGGTGCCGTCTGTGGGGAGGTCCTAGTTAAAAAGTTTAGCTTCTTCTAGATCTAAAAAAAACTCCTTTTTTTCTTCTTTGCACAAGCTAACAGTGACAAGAAAAGGAGAGGAAAGACTGAAAACAGTGATGGGTGTCACTACCAATCTCCTAGGCACCATCAACGAGGTGGACAGGGAAGACGAGGAGAATGTGACGCCGAGCGCCTCACCCAGGCAAAGTGATTCACCTCCTCCTCATGGGAGTGTAACTGCTTCACATGAGAAGGGAACCTCCACGTCCATGATGGAAGAAGCGCCGCCCACAATGAAAAAGTTATTGGATGCGTGACTGACAAGTACCCTAAGCAATATACTTGACAAACCCGTTCAAGGGGCGAGTAGGAATGTCGCACGAGTTGACACCCTAACAACCATCAACGAGCAACACGCTCCTCCTCCAACATGTAACACTCACACCGTTATTGACGCAGGTAATGACGCCCTCGTAGCTGTTCCGAAGAAAATAGAAGAAATGGAGAATGAGAAT